GGTCCCGGTGAAGTTTTCTTTATGGAGGCTCTGGATGCTGTATGGCTCTCATGCGGCTGTGTGTGTAAGCCAAACTGCAAAGGTAAGGCTGGTCTATGGGCAGGCTGGTTGCACTGAAGTTGATCCATCGATTGAATTCAGTACAACCAGCCTGTCTTTTTTTTTTTTTTTTTTTTTTTTCTCCTTTCTTTTCTTTGTACAATCACTGCCGGTGGCTGTAGCTGCCAGCAGTGATCATTGTATTCTGACGGCTGGAAAACCTCCCGCTGTCATAATACAATAGCATTGTGGGAGGGTTTCCCCCATCAAGCTATTTTCTTTCCTTCAACCTATTTTTGAAGGAAAGAAAAGTGTATAATGTATGGCCTATGCTGTGCCCCAGCAGACTTAGTTTATGATCTTGCACAGCACCACTTTACTGTAATGTCTTCTCTAATATCTCTGCCATTATCAGTTTTTATCTTTGTGATTTTTGAAGTGAGGACTCTAAAACCCCACACCCTATTCAATAGGGATTTTAGTTTATCATTGCATTGCACACCTATACTATTTTAACGATTCCATGTTTCGTTGTGTTAATATACAGTACTTTTGTTTTCATGGCTTTGTTAGCCAAACCTATTTCGGGTAGAACATGAAACGTGGTTACGCTCTGCAGCCCCTCCCCCCACCCCAACCTTAAACTTGGGTTCTTCTCTCCACAGCATCCTGCAGTTATTCATATTAGGCATGGCTGTACATGGCTCTGCACACACAGCCACATCATTTTAAGCTATAGACGAGCTGTAAATCAAATGAAAATTTGTGTTGTTCGTCAGGTCATTCGGTTTTTGCATCATTATTGTGACAGCTGCGATGTGCGATTTTCATGCCGCAATCAAAAGTGCTTGATCCAACATGCATTCTCTCTCTCTTTTCTCTCTCTTCTCTCTTCCCTTGCTCTCTCTCCCTTCCCTCGCCGCCCCCCCCCCCCCCCTCTCTCTCTCTCTCTCTCTCTCTCTCTCTCTCTCTCTCTCTCTCTCTCTCTCTCTCTCTCTCTCTCTCTCTCTCTCTCTCTCTCTCTCTCTCTCTCTCTCTCTCTCTCTCTCGTTTTGCACCTGTGAGGCACTGATTGAGGATGCAATGCTTTGCAGGTTCCAAAATTGCAAAAAAAAATCATGAATTTTATCAATTTAAATATTGGTGCAAATATTTTTTGCTAAAGGTAGATTTGGCATTTTATAAAATAATGAAAACTGCTATGAAACCACTTGAAAAGAAATAAATAAGTGTATAGAATACATGAAACCAGTGTAGGTGTACTGTATAGAGAAGCACTATTCTGATAAACGCCAAGCGAAAAAAAACAGTGCCTAGCATGCCAGGTCTCCTAGTATGCTTAGAACAGCAAGAGGGGTTGGTTACCAGATTACTGGTTCTCTTTAAAGAGTCCACAGTAGATAAGTAGTCATTTTGTGATTAAAGTCAAAACTGCTTTTATTTTTATGTATTTCCGACTATTCCGTGAAAGCACAATGCATTAAGACATTGTAATGTGTATGATACTGTATGTAACCTGATGTTTTTTGTTTTTATTTTGTACAATAATAATAATAAAAAAACAAAACTTGCATAATGTGTTGATGCCAGCTCTTGTGTCACTATTTTAAGTACACTGCTCAAAAAAATTAAAGGAACACTTTTTAATCAGTATAGCATCAGGTCAATTAAACTCCTGGGCTATTGATCTGGTCAGTTAAGTAGTAGAGGGGGTTGTTAATCAGTTTCGGCTGCTTTGGTGATAAATTAACAGGTGCACTAGATGGGCAACAATCAGATTGACATTTTTTTCCCCTTACTCCTCTTTCTTGACTGTTTTTTTCACTAGTTTTGCATTTGGCTAGGGTCAGTGTCACTACTGGTAACATGAGGCGAAACCTGGACCCTACAGAGGTTACACAGGCAGTCCAACACCTCCAGGATGGCACATCAATACGTGTCATTGCCAGAAGGTTTGCTGTGCCTCCCAGCACAGTCTCAAGAGCATGGAGGAGATTCCAGGAGACAGGAAGTTACTCTAGGAGAGCTGGACCGGGCCATAGAAGGTCCTTAACCCATCAGCAGGACCGGTATCGGCTCCTTTGTGCAAGGGGGAACAGGATAAGCACTGCCAGAGCCCTACAAAATTTCCTCCAGTAGGCCACTGGTGTGAATGTCTCTGACCAAACAATCAGAAACAGACTTCATGAGGGTGCCCTGAAGACCCGACATCCTCTAGTGGGCCCTGTGCTCACTGCCCGGCAGCATAGAGCTCAATTGGCGTTTGCCATTGAACACCAGAAATGGCAGGTCCACCACTGGTGCCCTGAGCTTTTCACAGAAGAGAGCACGTTCACCCTGAGCACATGTGACAAATGTGAAAGGGTCTGGAAAGCTGGGGAGAATGTTATGCTGCCTGTAACATCATTCAGCATGACTGTTTTGGTGGTGGGTCAGTGATGGTCTGGGGAGGCATATCCATGGAGGGACGCACAGACCTCTACAGGCTAGACAATGGCACCCAGACTGCCATTAGGTATCGGGATGAGATCCTTGGATCCATTGTCAGACCCTACGCTGGTGCAGTGGGTCTGGGTTCCTCCTAGTGCACAACAATGCCCGGCCTCATGTGGTGAGAGTATGCAGGTAGTTCCTGGAGAATGAAGGAATTGATACCATTGAATGGCCCCCATGCTTGTCTGACCTAAATCCAAAATAACACCTCTGGGATATCATGTTTTGGTCCATGCGCCACCAGGTTGCCCCTCAGACTGTCCAGGAGCTCACTGATGCCCTGGTCCAGATCTGGGAGGAAATCCCCCCAGGACACCATCCGTGGTCTCATTAGGAGCATGCCCCGACTTTGTCAGGCATACATACAAACACGTGCGGGTCGTACAAACTACTGAGTACCATTTTGAGTTGCTGCAATGGAATTTCAGCAAAATAGACTCACGTGCTGCATCATTTTTTTCACTTTGATTTTCGGGCTGTCTTTGAATTCAGCCCTCTGTAGGTTGATAATTTTCATTTCCATCAAACGATGGGGCATCCTTACTTTCCTGACACATTGCCCAATCCATATCAGTATAGATATCTAGCATGAGATTTTTCCCCATTGAGATCTGATGTGTTTTCAAAGCGTTCCTTTCATTTTTTTTGAGCAGAATATATCTAAACCCAAGAACAAAAATCAATTATATTGCAGCGTACGAGTCCTTAGAGGAGGTGGCCTCATTATGTTTTCAGGGCTAATTCACTTTGTATGTGTTGACAGATGTTTTACTGCATGGTAAAGCATCTGTCACAGCAAGGACACACAGGAAACAGTTGTTTCCTATACTGTCCCATTCACACTGCAACACAACCTACACAAGTGTACATTTTGTATAGTTCAAATAAAGCTTGTACAAAAAAAAGGGAGCCATGTAATGCGCTGGATTGTGCATCGCATCAAGGAGCCGGCAACACAGCGGCCAGAGCAGTAAATCGCCCCAGCTGCTCTGCGATTCAATGAGTATAACATGTGAGTCTAAAGGTTAAAGCTCCCCACTAGAGTTTTTTGTTTGTTGTGGGTTTTGTTTTGTTTTTTTAGTCCAAAAAGTAGGATTTTGTACCAAGCATATTAAATGTAATATCCAACGCATTTTGGGTGCCATACAACTGCTTCATCAGGGCTGCAATGTGTTTGAGTCCTAGAGTAGGATTTAATTCCAAACTCTAGTGTGATGTTTTGACTTACAGACTCAAACATTGCATTCACATCCTCAGGCTTCTGTGGCAGTTCCTTGGTGGATGGAAGCAGCCCGCATATCACTTTGTTGCCCCATCAATTAACCATTAGCACAACTATGATGGAATCCATTTCAAACATGAAAGCTCTATTCACTTAGCATTCTAGTGCCATCAATCGCCACTTTAAGCAGGCCATAGACTGGTTGAAAATCGCCCGATTTTTCGGCTGAAAAAAAATCAGCCGATTTTCGCACCGTTAGTGGGTTAATTGGTCGGCCGTTTTTTTCGGGATTTTGGCACATTTTTTCTATCGGTAGAGTTGGAAAAAAAAAAATCGGCCGATTTTTGCGGCAATGATGGGCCGATCTTTTTACCGATTAAAAAATCTGCGCATGAGCCGTTACCAAAGAAAAAGAACATCTGTATCCATTTGTAGCCATTTCGGATACAGATGTTTCTATTCGGATACAAATAGATACAATGTTTGCAACCACAATTCTTATAAATGTCAAATCTAATAGCGGTGTCCCTGCAGAGAGCTCCGCTATTATATTTGACATGAAAAAGTATTGCGGTTGCAACAATGTATCTATGTGTATCTAAATAGAAACATCTGTATCCGAAATAGAAACAAATAGATAACATGTTGCAACCGCTATACTTTTTCATGTCAAATATAATATAAGCTCTCTGCAGGGACTCAGCTATTATATTTGCCGGCTGTAGACGGGACGAAAATCGTCCGTGTTTTTTTTTTTTTTTTTACCGTTGGTGGTAACGTCGGCCGATTGAACGACCGATTTTTCATTTTGTTTTTAAAAAACAGCTGGTTTTTCACCCGTCTATGGCCTGCATAAGCCATCATTTTTTCCAGGCATGTTCCCCCCTTTATGGTTACTTGGTTATCCTGCAGCTAACAAACTTCCTGTCTTAAGCCTAGTATACACGATCAGAAAATTGTACGAAAAATAGCGCTTTTGAAGCGATCATACAGTAATCTCATTGTTGGTACACAGCTTTCATCGGAAATTATTTGCGGGGACAAGCACGAAAATTTTTCTCATACGATACCAAATTGTTTAATCGGTACAGTTTTCATCAGAATATACAAGTAGATTACATCTGTTCTGAATTTTCTTTGTCATACAAGAATTTTTGTAACATTAGTAACATCTTCACTTTCTATATGAGACTAGCATGGAAAAAAAAAATGGACGATTACTCATCCAATATTCTCATTGTGTGGACTGGTCTTGAGGGTGACAACGCTCACTGTGCTGTATCTATGAAGGAGCAGCGTTGTCATCGTAGAACAGCGGAGGGTTGATTTACTAAACCTGGAGAGTGCAAAATCTTGGTTCAGCCAGATTTTAGAAACCTATCAGCTTCCAGGTTTTATTGTCAAAGCTTAAAATGTTACTAAACCCAGGATCCTGCATTCACTATATTTGGTCTCCCTGGGCCCTGCATTCACTATATCTGGTCTCCCCGGGCCCTGCATTCACTATATCTGGCCTCCCCGGACCCTGCATTCACTGTATCCGGTCTCCCCGGACCCTGCATTCACTGTATCCGGTCTCCCCGGACCCTGCATTCACTGTATCCGGTCTCCCCGGACCCTGCATTCACTGTATCCGGTCTCCCCGGACCCTGCATTCACTGTATCCGGTCTCCCCAGACCCTGCATTCACTGTATCCGGTCTCCCGGGACCCTGCATTCACTATACCTGGCCTCCCCGGACCCTGCATTCACTATACCTGGCCTCCCCGGACCCTGCATTCACTATATCTGGTCTCCCAGCATCCTGCATTCACTATATCTGGTCTCCCCGGACCCTGCATTCACTATATCCGGTCTCCCCGGACCCTGAATTCACTATACCTGGCCTCCCCAGACCCTGCATTCACTATATCCGGTCTCCCCAGACCCTGCATTCACTATACCTGGCCTCCCCAGACCCTGCATTCACTATATCCGGTCTCCCCCAGACCCTGCATTCACTATACCTGGCCTCCCCAGACCCTGCATTCACTATATCTGGTCTCCCAGGACCCTGCATTCACTATATCCGGTCTCCCAGGACCCTGCATTCACTATATCTGGTCTCCCCCAGTACACAGAACATGGAAGTGCAATTATTTTGGTAAATATAAACTGCTAAATACCTTTTCTCATCAGCAGTTAGAGCAGTCTGGTGACTTCTATCAGCGTCCAGCAGAGCACTTTTTAAAGCTTGTAGGAAGAGTTTTCATTTTGTTCTAGGAGGATGCAGAACCCCTGACTTCTGTCTGAACAGTGCTGATTGGCCTTGTGCTGATCACATGCACTCTCCCAAGAAACAGAAAAAATACCCTCTCTAGCAATACACATCAAACTGAGCATGTGCATAGTGTCTCCACACAGTGTCTTATCAGGAGATAAGGGGGGGATAATGGAAGAAGGGGAGGATCAGAGAAGACAGGATCAAACAGCACTTTTACACAATGCAGAGGATTAACCCGTTAGGTTCCACAGTGAGTATAACAAGCATGCTTTACTGCATATACAGACTGATTTTACTGTTGTAGGTTTAGTAACACTTTAATTGAACATGCTGAAGTTAGAAGCTGATTGGCTCCCATGCACAGCTGCACCAGATTTTGCACTCTCCAGTTTTAGTAAATCAATCCCCAAGTGCACCTTTTCCGTAACATAAAGAAGGGGGTGTTCTATAGTTCAGTGCGTGAACTGGTAGGGCTACTGACACTGGTTGAGATTTCAGTACAAGACAGGAAAAGTGAAGTTAGGCGTTCATTGGCTTTCTGGCAGGATCAACCGTTTTTTTTTGTTTTGCTCTTGAACATGTATAACAAAATGCTTTCCATGGTATGTTTAACCTCCCTGGCGGTATTCCCGAGTGTAGCTCGGGGTATAGTTTCAGTACCAAAAGCGGTAACCCCGAGCTATACTCAGGCTTACCATGCGGCTTTGCTCCGGGATCCCTCGGTCACTTACCTTGTCCTGCGCTCCCACGATGTCCCTCCTGTAGTGTACTCCGGAGGAGTACTCCATCTGTCATCTGGATTCAGTTCCCTGCGAGCGTCGGGACGCACTGGGGACGGAACGGCGGGAAATTTGAAAATGACATATTGTGACATTCACTAAATACACTAAAATAATATAGTAAAATATTACTGTATCAAACCATTTCACATACATTTTGTCCCGAGTGCTTTGTCCGGCGCCCTGCCTGCATTTTGTCTGTTCTTTCTGCCTGGAAACTGAGAAATGTCCATGGCGTCCAAAAAGTGTCCCTTTAGGTCAAAAGCGGTTTAGATCAGCTAGAGAACAGCGATAGTAAATCAGAACCACTTGCAGAATTGAGTGATAATGATTCGTGGGGGAAATTCGTCATCAGACACTGAAAACAATTTTGCGACTTTGCTCAGTGATGTGCGAACTTGGCGCTATATTTCAAATTTCAGTGTTTTTGGTTTGATTATATTATTGAAATAAATGTATTATTATATTATTATTTTTTTGATTTTTTATTAAATTATAATTTATGATTTCGTGTTTTAAATTTTAACATACCCGGGATGTTTACTAGACTCTTGTTCGGACAGATTTCAGTGAGTTATTCCTAAAAATTACAGACCTACAATAAAAAAAAATACATATTTCTGTGCAAGAAAATGTACCGCTTTGAGCACAGAAATACGGACAAAATCAGACCGCTAGAGAGGTTAACAGACTAGAGAGGAGTAATCAGGACAAGTTCATTGTAAGGATTTACATACACTTTAATCTTTGCATGACAAACTACTCACATCTACTGGAGAAAAATACAGTACATACAAGCAGTAAGAGAACAGCGACACCCAGTACTAGTTATCTGTAGGCATCACCTAGCATCCAGTGTAACACCCAGCGTGCACTGCCCTATACCGATCCTTCAGAAGGTGCATGCACATACCACCCCCAGAACCATGATGTTTCCCACTGTGGCCAAAATAGCAATCCACAACCAGACCGTATCACTTGTCCGATGTCCCCTGTCTGCCTGATCTGTCCTCTGTTCTGGTCCTGTGCTGAGAGTAGACAACGAAGTCTGGAAGGACAGGTCCCCATTGTAGGAAGCATACAAAAATATCCCGCTCATTGTCGATAACTGCTGGGGACAAGAAGAAAAGGAAATACCAAGATAAGAAATACCAAAAACACCAATCAAAATATTACATTTAACAAATATAAAGGTCAATGGTCAGTGTACTCTAAAATAGTCAGTTTCTATGTGGTTGGTCCTTATTTCTACTAGTGTCCCCATTGAGGAGGAAGACCACACACTTTGCAATTTTTTTCTCTTTGGGGTCTGTTGGCTGCTCCATGAACCTGCCTGGAATCTCCCAGTGACTGAAACACAACACTGTGGTACAGAGCCTGCAGAAAGGAATTTGCTCTCTCCATTCTATTGTTAGGGGTTACTAAATGAACTTCCATCATGATGAGCTGAATTTTGAGAAAATATACCATCTCTTGACTTGTGGTTGTGTCACGGTCAGGGGCGGACTGACCATTTGAAAACTAGGGCACTGCCCGAGGGCCCGAGGTCAGTAGGGGGCCCCATGAGATGCCCCTGGTACCTTTTTCATAGGCTTTTTTGAGTTTGGGCAAGGACACAGGGGCCCCATGATCCCCTATTGCCCGGGGGGCCCCATGAGTTGTCAGTCCGCCCCTGGTCACGGTATTTCAATGCAAAATTCCCATTCAGCTGGAATGAAGAAAACACATTCAGGAGGCAGTAGTATCACCTTCTACACTAAAAGTGGGAGAGTCCTAAAAAGGCATTAACCACTTCTTGACCACGCTAAAGTCGAATGATGTCTACAGCACAATTGTCCAGTTCTGATAGGGCATCATATGATGTCCTCCCAGGTTGAGTCCACAGCGGCGAACATCCGGTGCTCTCTGTGATCGCTGTGTTCTCTGGACACTGCGTATCACATGACATGGTAAAAGGCCAATCACAGCGGCCTTTTACCATGTGATCAGCTGTGTCCAGTCATATCTGATCACCATGTAAATATACTAACCAGTTATCGACTGTATTTTCCTGAGGACAGTAATGGCAATAATCGGCAACTGTCAAAGGAGACAATATCAGTGCAACCCTAAAAGTGCCCACCCAGTGCCCAAGAGTGCTGCCCATCAGTGTCACCAATCTGTGCCCGTTAGTGCCCTTCAGTGCTGCCTATTAATGTCAATCAGTGCCACATATCAGTGCAGCCTCATCAATGCACATCAGTGCGGGGAAAAATGTTTGCAAAATTTTATAATAGAAAGAAAGAAAATCATTTTTTTTTTAAATTTCAGTCTTTTTTCGTTTATAGTGCAAAAAATAAAAACCTCAGTTGTGATTAAATACCACCAATAGTAAGCTCTATTTGTGTGAAAAAATGTCATATGGGTACAGTGTTGCATGACCACGTAATTGTTATTCAAAGTGCGACAACACTGAAAGCTGAAAATTTGCCTGGGCAGGAAGGGGGTAAAAGTGCCTGGTAGGCAAATGGTTAAATATAAGTGTGCATTAAGTACAGAGTGCAGGGTTCATGTGTGCGCTACATACAGAGTGCAGTTTTTAGGTGTGCACTGCATGCAGAGTGCCGGTTTTAGGTGTGCACTGCATACAGAGTGCAGATTTTAGGTGTGTGCTGCTTACAGAGTGCAGATTTTAGGTGTGTGCTGCTTACAGAGTGGAGGTTTTAGGTGTGTGCTGCGTACAGAGTGCAGGTTTCAGGTGTGTGCTGCATACAGAGTTCAGGTGTGCACTGCGTACAGAGTGCAAGTTTAAGGTGTGCGCTGCGTACAGAGTGCAGGTTTCAGGTGTGCACTGCATATAGAGTGCAAGGTTCAGGTGTGCGCTGCGTAGAGTGCAGGTTTTAGGTGTGCGCTGTGTACAGAGTGCAGGGTTCAGGTGTGCGCTGCATATAGAGTGCAGGTTTCAGGTGTGTGCTGCGTACAGAGTGCAGGTTTCAGGTGTGCGCTGCGTACAGAGTGCAGGGTTCAGGTGTGCGCTACATATAGAGTGCAGGGTTCAGGTGTACGCTGTGTACAAAGTGCAGGTTTCAGGTGTGCGCTCGTACAGAGTGCAGGTTTCAGGTGTGCGCTGCGTACAGAGTGCAGGTTTCAGGTGTGCGCTGCGTACAGAGTGCAGGGTTCAGGTGTACGCTGTGTACAAAGTGCAGGTTTCAGGTGTGCGCTGCGTACAGAGTGCAGGGTTCAGGTGTGCGCTACATATAGAGTGCAGGGTTCAGGTGTACGCTGTGTACAAAGTGCAGGTTTCAGGTGTGCGCTGCGTACAGAGTGCAGGTTTCAGGTGTGTGCTGCGTACAGAGTGCAGGTTTCAGGTGTGCGCTGCGTACAGAGTGCAGGGTTCAGGTGTGTGCTGCGTACAGAGTGCAGGTTTCAGGTGTGCGCTGCGTACAGAGTGCAGGGTTCAGGTGTACGCTGTGTACAAAGTGCAGGTTTCAGGTGTGCGCTGCGTACAGCATGCAGGGTTCACGTGTGCACTACATACAGAGTGCAGGGTTCATGTGTGCGCTACATAGAGTGCAGGTTTCAGGGTGCACAGTGTATAGAGTGCAGGTTCAGGGGTTCCCCCTTCTCCCCCAAATCACCCCCTCCCCCAATACAGTGCTCTACTCCCACCCCCAAATCCCTTTCCTTGACAGTACTGGATAGAGAACTGCGCCTGCAGAAGAGCAGGATAGGTTACTGAGGAGGAGAGTATAGTGGAGCTGTGGGGCCATGGGCAAAGGCTTCAGGAACTGTTACCACCAGACAAGCATTGCTTTCCAACTACCTATCTATGCAGAGAAGCGGCAGGTGGAGCACAATTGAGATCATTCTGTAGCCGGAATTAGAGGAGTGGGATCGGCAAATGCAGCCGCTTGCTCCTTCCGCCACCAACTTCAGCCTGTTTCTATTCCAAAATAATCCAAACTGGCTTCAAACTCCGCCTGGGTAAGTGGCTGCTGGAGCTGCATCAAATGTCCCAGGGTTGTTTCTTACACTTACCAAACCAACACTAACCTGCCTGAAAAATAGGATTGATTTTTACTGGCATAATCAGTCGGTCGCCGGGTCCCGGCCGATGATTCCCCACCACCACCCGGCGATCGCCAAGTATCATTGATGGGAGAAAGGTCTGTTTGTAAACAATACAGATCTTTCCCCTGTCAGCTCCTGCACACTGCTTTGTATGGCTCTGCATAGCAATGTACTTACACAGTAAAACACACACAGCACACAGTTAACCCTTTGATTGCCCCACATGTTAACCCCTTCCTGCCCAGTGTCATTAGTACAGTGTCAGTGCTTTTTATTAGCACTGATCACTGTATTGGTGTCACTGGGGATCTCAGTGACAGTCAGTTCCCCCCCAGTGTCAGAATGCCCACCGCAGTCCCGCAATAAGTCGCTGATAGCCGCCATTACTAGTAGGAAAAAAAAAAAAATAAAAACCCAGTATATATACCGCCATTTGTGGACACTATAACTTTCACGTAAACCAATTAATTTACACGTATTGGGATTTTTTTTTTTTTTTTTTAGCCAAGACATGTAGCAGAATACATTTTGCCCTAAATTTATGACAAAATTAGATTTTTAACTGGATTTGTTTTTATAGCAAAAAGTAAAAAATATATATTTTTTTTCAAAATTGTTTTAATTTGTTTATAGCACAAAAAATTAAAAAACCGCACAGGCGATCAAATACCACCGAAAGAAAGTTCAATTTGTGGGAAAAAATTACAAAAATTTCATTTGGGTGCAGAGTTGCATGACCGCGCAATTGTCAGGTAAAGTAACGCAGTGCAGTATCTAAAAAAAAATGGCCTGGTCAGGAAGGGGGGTAAATCCTCTGGAGGGCAAGTGGTTAATAAAAACCCCATTAACCAAACAAATGCTTTCCTTTGGCTGTGACCTCCTCCATAGATCCCCTGTACCTGCTCATCCACCAGAGAGAAGTCCATTATGGTTTCCACTGTATGGGATCTCGGGCACGGGTGAAGCGAGCGTTCATCAATCCACAATGGGTGAATGTGTGTCCATGATATCTCTCTCACATGAAGGGAATCCTCTGGCTGCAGTGTAATCGTAGTCTGTGTCAGCGGGGAGCGAGAGGCTCTTTAATTTGTTAAATCTCTCCAGAT